TGAGGATGGAACCCAGGGCCTCACACATGCTTGGCAAGTGCTCTACCACCAAGCTACAACCCCAGCCCCTCAAAGTCTTATTTTTAAAAACTAGAAAACAAATTTCATATGAGGATTAATGTAAGATTTTTTTTATTGTAACAATACAAGTGCTTAAATTACAAAAGTATATATTTTTTCTCTTAGATTAGAAATTTTATTCTTTACAAATTACCTAATGTTATTGAAAATATTTATATATTTCCCATATAAAAAAATTAAATTTCCCCTCCCCACTATAAACTCTTCACTTTTGATCCCCACAGGCAATTATCATCCATGAATTATTTTCTTATGCATCTGTCTAAGRGGTATAAAGATTGTATCTTCTTTCCTTTAAACACAAATAGGTTTCTTGTTTTCACATTGTCATAAATCTTGACTTTTCCCCCTTACCATCAGTATGTAAATACTTCCAAACTTTACTCAGATTTTAATATTCTGTTATCTTTTTTATTTTCACACATAGAGTTAGATTCTGTGATTAAAAAAATATCAATTAATATCATTTTCTGTTTGCCAGAGTTAATCACATTAAACATTTACAGGTAATTCTTCTATTATTTATTCCCTTGTTACTAAATAACATGTTTATATATTCACTTCTTGATGATTCATCTTTAGGAATTTTATATTTACTCCTTCCTTAGGAAGATAAAGATTTACTTCTTTTACCCACATATCTTGTACCTACCACACTCTTGTACTTGTGGACAGCTTCCTTCAAATATCAAATTTTTGCTCTATAAATATCATATTACTATGGCTTTGTAAAAACAACTCAAGTCTGAGTTATGAAATGTATAATGATTACTTTTCTTATTCATTAAAATTCTCATTTTTGTTACTCAGTTTTTTATATACTTATTATCAGTAAAGCCTAGAACTTCTCCCCCCAATTATACAAAACTTTTCTTAAAATATCAAAGCTRTTATATATCATATCAATATTATCTTTCTAAAACTCTCTGTCCTAGAACCTTCTGGTCAGCTCCAGTCTCACAGATAGCCAYCTACATCTGCTAGATAGTCTTTATTTTGAAACTTTAATAAATACCATTCKGAGAAARAAACTACTTGACCCTTTTCATTTTTTGGATCCCAGTATTTTGGACTCTGTCTTCTCTTCTCTTTTTCACATTATTCTATCATTTTGATGGATAACTTTCTCCAATAGACTCCTGAGGAAAGATTCTTAAGGTGGATTTTTTTTTTTTTTTTTGGTTCTGGGATTGAACCCAAAGTCACTTAGCCACTGAGCCACATCCCCATTCCTTTTTATTTTTTATTTTGAATAGGGTCTTGCTAAATTGCTTAGGGCCACACTAAGTTGCTGAGTCTGGTCTTGAACTTGCAATCCTCTTATCTTAGCCTCCTGAATTGCTGGGATTTTAGGCATGCGCCATCACTCCTGGCTCTTGAAATGGAAATTTTAAAGACATTTCATATCCCAAAAAAAGGTTCTCTTCTACTAAACTCAGAGATAATTTTGCTGGGTATGAAATTCTAAATTTACAATCATTTTCTCCTATGATTTCAAAGACATTTTCCCATTATCTTTAGCTCCTAGTATTGAGAGGAATTATTCCATCTTAATTCTCAATTATTTATATAACACACAGTATTCTTTTTTACCATTTATAAAATCTTCATCCTAAGTTTTCTGGAATTTCTTAATCACGAGCCAATTATGTGCTTAATATCACACTTCCCAGAAACTCATGAGAACTTATATTGAATCATTTTTTTTAACAATTTTTTTTCATTTTGTTTCCTTTTGTTATCTAGAACTCCTGTTATCCAGATGTTGTATTCCAAAACTATCATTTTCTTACCTTTTTTTAAATAAAAMATTTCCACTTTCATCCAATATACTTAAGGAAATAAGTATATTTCCTTAACTTTATCTTCCAATCTTTCTATYCAGTTTTCCAAGAGCTCTTCATATTCCATGTATTTCTTTCTTACCATGGCATTTTCTTACTTCAGAGACACAACAGAATTAGCTTTTCTTTAAGTGGTTAATGCAGTACTATAAAAATGACCAAGCAAGTTGAAACCGTATTAACAATTAATGGGAAAATAAAGATTGTTCTRTGAACTTTAACCCTTTCTTCATAACACTAAAAATGCTTTTATTRTTAATTGAGAAGTGTATAGGGAAATAAAATAATAAAACTAGTATATACTTAGTACATTGTAACTTAGAACATTGAAAAGTAAAATGATTTCTTTCTTTGAACAGTTTGCCACCTCCTCATGGTATAACTTCCAATATGAACGGAGCATCTTCTATATATCTTGGGAAATCATCCTCCTTCTTTCTAAGTTTGGATCAGCTTCCACCCTTTGTGATTTTAACATTATGAAATGTCTCTCAGGGCTCTTTATAGTGAATTATTTTGCCAGTATCATTTCCTCTGAGACGACTTCATCCTTTTTATCACATTTTTATCCACATAAAATATTTGACATTATCATATCTGCTTATCTCAACTAATCTAGGTGCAAATTTCACAATAGTATCCTTTTTKTTGTTGTTGTTCTAGCAACTTGACAAGATAAGTGTAATCAATTCATGCCAACTTTTTCTGGCAACAAAATTTTCTTTCTCTATTCTCTTGTAAGGAGCATTTTTWAAAATGTGGCGACTAAATCCAATGTTGACCTGAATAGTTTCCAGATTATTTTTTTCTATTACTGATCTTTAATCGAAAGTCTTTTTTTTTTAATTCTTCATGCAATTTAATCTAAAAGATGTTAATGCTACTTCATTTTTCTTCTCCTGTCCCCATGGACTTCATGGTTCATACAGGTACAGGGGCCTTGCAATCTTTTCTTTGGTCTGACCATTTTCAGACCTTTTAATCATATCCAGTATTATTTTCTATGGAAATTTTCACTCCTTTGCTGAACAAATTAGCTAATYCTGTCTTTTCATTATCCATTCTTGTAAGGAGTCACATTGGGTTCTCACTGGGAGAGAAGGAGGTGATTCAATACTCTCCATTGTCTGTGCATGAGCTGGCTAACAGATATGCAAAAACACAGCCATAGATAGATTCTGAAAGAAGTGATGTGATAGGTYACTGGTCATGATGCTCACCTATTATTGACACTATTTGAACACTATATAATTATTTTGTTAATATACTATGGCCACTGAAATTTGAGCTGTATTTCTGGGGGACTGGTGCTATAAACTGTGAAACTGATATGTGTGAATATTGGAACTATGTGATATGGTTCAAGTATTGTCTGCATCCAAGATTCATATTGAATTTCATCATTATTATGAGATATTRAGAGGTGGAACCAGGTGAGATGTTTGAGAGGTGATTTGAGCTCTGCCCTCATGATGAATTAATCTATTCTTGTGATTAATGTGGTAATGGTTAATAGGTTATCCTGATAGTGTTTGGTCAGGTTTTTCAGGTACTCCTTTTCTCTTACCATGCAATGCCCTATGCCACCTTAGGACTCCCACACAAGAAGACCATAACTAGATGCAGCCTCTTGATCTTGGGTCAAACCCATGAGCCAAAATAAATTTCTTGTGTTTTATAAGTTTCCTAATCTATGGTGTTGTGTTWTTAGCAACAGAAAAAAAAACTTTGCAATACTATGCAAAGTGAGACTATCTCTTATTTTGACATGCACGTCATGAATAGTATTTAAACTGCTCTTCTCCCTGCATACCAGTTTTCCCCTCCTATTTACTTTTCCTCATATTTTCTTATCTGTATTTTATTTGCCTGGTTAGTTTCTTTTTTGTTCCCTTCTCTGCTTTGATATTAGRTATTTATCTGATCTGCTTATATGTAAGAGTGAGGCACTAAAAAGTCACAAAGAGAGCTTATGAATATGGCATTGAGTGCTGGGTGATCTGGCTGGACCATTTCTTAGAAAGTACCCTAGGTTTAAGTCTTATCTTCTGGGATAGCCAGGTTCCTCAGAGAACACTTTCTGGAGAGTAAACAATTTATCTCTTGTCTCCTGGAAGGTGAGTGGGAAAAGAAAGCCTGGGTTCTTTATATCAATTTCCCATTAACTCTCCAGTGTTCCAGTTCAGTAGGTTTATTTTCAACTAGCCACATTTAGAGATGCTCTGTTTCTGTCTTTGCCAAGAGTGAACCTTCCGTGTTCTGCTCTGTGAAGGATGCGCAGAGTCAGATCACCTGTCCTTCTTAGCTCCATTTTCTTTCCCTCCTCCACAGGTCCCTGTGCTGCCAATTCTAGGGCTTATCAGAGCTGGTGGGTTGTAAATGTCACTGCTTCTTGACTTTGCCCATTGCTAGTTGAGGATTCAGCTCACTTTGGATTTTCCACCCAAAGTGCTTTATACTTTCCTAAGTTTGGTTTCTATTTCTCCATATTTCTTTGTGCTTTTGTGATTTAAATGTATTGTAATTTTTGTAGGGTTTTGTGAGGAACAAAAATTTGATAGTATGTAATCAATTAGTAATCTTTAATTGGCACTCTCTCATTTTGAAGTGCACACACACACACACACACACACACACTACCCCATAGGTACTTTTAAATACCCTGTTCTAAATTCTTGACTGAATTGAATCCAATGTATGGAAAGATGATAAAAGTGTACGTTTTTGTTCTTTTCTCATTTTGAGTACTTCATAGGAACAAAATWTTTTATTTTTCTTTTTGTTACTTTTCTTCTAAAACATGTCAATAAAGCCTTTATCATTTGTCATTGATTTTTATGTTTTGGGGATTGAGCTATATAAAATACACCATAAATATTGTATGAGCATTTTGTGTAAATGATTTATAATACTTTCTTGAGCTGGCTTCARTAGAATTATTCAACTGCATCTCCTGGCATTTTTAATAACCTTCTTAATATATTCTGTCATCCCCATCTGTTTTGATTTAAGGTTGATTATACAGACATGCCATTCTGCAAAAAGCCACCTGATCACTTCAGTGGTGTGTTATACATACATTAAACTCAAGGTATTTTCAGAGAGGAAACATAAAATTGCTACTGTTAWATTACACCCATTTTATTAGATTTCTCCTGGGTAGATTACCTAGAACACTGGAAAATGAACCGTTAGACATATTCACAGAAAATCATGACACTGATGTTTAAAACTAGCTCAATTTAACCTTCCACTGATTCCCTAACCAGCAATTCTCTGACTAGATCCCTAGGGAGAATGTATTGAACACAGTCAAAGGGTAGAGGAGTACAGCAAGGCTAGGCAGCAGCCAATCGGATGCAGAGGGTCTAAAGATCTGATGCCTGCAGGCAAGCAGCACCAAGCTGAGCTGGTTAGTYTCCTTTGATTGCGGATGAACACCACATATATGTCGTAAATGCTCCTTCTGTAGGCTGCAGCCAGCAAGCAGACCCGTAGCTAAGAGAGGGATACATGCCCCAGCAACTCATTCTGCACAACAGCCGGCAAGACAACGAACGAGACTCCTGTGCTGGAATGTTCTCATTTGAAGGTATTAGTACTTTTTCATTTGAGTTTCTTTATTGCTTAAGAATTACCCAAAGCAGAGAGGCTGGTGCTGGAGGAGGATCTCTGCTTTCTAGTAACGCGCTTTGTTCCTGTTCTCAGTCTCTCTGTGCCAGCTTCAAAATGGTTAACCTTTGGGGGGGATCGCACTGAGCAGAATAAAGGAACACTTTACATTGCTTAAATGAACTGTGCACAGACCTTTTATCAGGCCGACTCTTTGTTAATGTTGCTATTGTTCTGAAGGTAAGCTGGTTAAAAATGCAGTTTCAAGTCATCACATTCTGCTACATTCATAACTAAGAGGACCCGAGAAGGATCAGGGGGCGTGTGCCTACTATCTCAAAGGTTGCTACAATTTATGTAGCTGTCTTTCGGTCTTAGAAAGGAAAAAGGTCTAAATTGCCGATCAAAGGTAAAGAAAGAGAATGTGGCCAGTATTTGGATTACTCTGTGCTTAAAACACAAGTTTTATTAAAAAAAAAAAAGAACACTTTGCATATTTTCAGTATGCTTAATAATTAAGATGCCTTCATTATCATTTATTACTGACAGCTAGTGTAATCATCTAAAAGTCATCAGCATATTAGGCGCTCTTGTTTTAGTTGCCAAGGTAATTGAAAGGATAATTTAATATGTTACAGAGTAACAAAAGACCCATGAGAAACATATTGCATTAGGTTAGGCATGAGATTGCTCTGTGGAGCATTTATTTTTGAGAGTCAGTTCCTTCTTTTGTTTCTCATCCCCATCAATGATGCATTAGGAGTGGATAAAGCAGGGACTTCGATCATGTCCCACACATTTAAATGAAAGCAGTTATTTATGCTATACATTAGGCAAGATTTAATTTATGTCTAAGACACTAGATGGTTAAGGCATATGGAATGGTTTCGCTGGTAAGTTATTCATTATCCTCCGTGGGACATTTGAAGTCACACATCAGTGGGTTATGAATGGGGGCCTGAGTGAAGTGGGGAGAATCTGCTTTCTCAGGGAACAGGCATGAATGCAGCCAGTGCTTTGCTTCATTTTCTACTTATCTCTATAAACCAYGACCCACAGAAATTTTAATCTTCGTAGGAAATTGACATTTTTATGACACATCTCTGAAAGCTCTCATAATTAGTGCAGATTCTGTGTGTWGTTATTTTCAAAAAGAGGGAAAATATTAAGGCATTAATACAGTATCTAAATTGAGAACCCAGTGGTATTTTTAGTCCTTTTTTACTCAGTTATTTTTAAATTATTGTCTGTGAAACTCAATACACCCTGCCTTTGTAGRTTATCAATTATACTGTTGTGATGTACTTTGTGATTTTCAGTCTCTGTAAATATTCCTCACATGCATGACTTTATTTATTAAGTGTCTTAAGCAAGTAAAACTAATATGTTCAGCTAATATTTAAAAATCATGGTTTGGTTATGGGTAATTTATAATTCATCTTAATCAATTATATAAAAATTAAAGTTCTAACATTAGGATTTAAAAATCAACACTAACATTAAAAATAATACTGTTCTTCATGTAGTGAGATTATTGCCTTGTCTATGTTTTAAAAAGATATTGCTTTTGAGAAGGTAAATTAATTAATTAACTGGATRGCCATAGGGAGTCCATAAACAACTTTGATGATTGGTCACAGGGTTGTAGGGGCTAGTATTATTGTATAGAAGAGAATACAGAATAGTATCTTGCACTTGGATTATAAGAAGAGTCCTTGTACCTGAGTTGATGTGAATCTTTTTCTACTAAAGGAAAAAACAAAAAGAAGAGGCAGAATGTAATCTTAGAAAATGAGGTTAACTGTCAATAAAGCATTTTAGGGCAGCAAGAGATAGGTTAGCTTAGGGAGTAGATTAAAGCAAAAGAAGAGACATCTCCCTGAGAGGCATTATAGGGATGAAATAATAGACCGAGACTGGCTTSCAGCCCAGCACTGCCACCTACTCCTGGGTAGACGAGGTGGATTAGACCTACTCAGCTGGTTTATGAGCGTTATAAGAAGTCCATATAATTATAAGTAGTTTGTGCAAATATAAGAAGGGTGTAATTATAAAGATATGAGCGCAAAATAGACTCTCACCTCATTGGGGCTGATCAACATGACTTCTTCCTAGAAGAGGGATGGACTCCAGTGGAAGCAGTAGCAAGGTCCTTATTAGTGTCTTCATTTCTGTCCTCACCCTCCCTATTCTCTTTCATCTCTCAGATAAAACCTAAACTTCTGCCTTTTGAGAACATTACCTTCAGTTTACTGCTTTGAATCCCATTTAAATGCAAATAGCCTTGGGAAGAATACTTTAAGATGTTATTAGCCTTTGTCATCCTGGCAACACCTGAGAACAGACGCTCATAGGAGAATGCTGAGTAGGGAGAGCTTTTTAACAAGGAAGAAGGGGGGGGGGTCCTAAAAAGAGATGCTATTGAGAGAGTAAGGATGATTGGAAAGTTTGGAGTGTGAGAAATATATCCTATAATATGTAACTTAACAAATGCCTACAGAGAGATCAGTTAAACTAGGAGCATACAATAATTGGGTTATGGGTCCAAAATAAAGTTGAAAACTTAGGTAGGCAGCACTCTTGAAAAGAATATGATGCATATATTTTTTTTTCCTTTGGTCATTCMTAAGCAGTGACTTCCACATTTTTTCAGGAAGAACCTATTTACTGGTTGAAGGTGAATAAACAAGAGGAAAAGAAAATGAAATCTAAGGGAGTGAGCAGAATTTGTCTTTTCTGGTCTATTAATTCTTGCCAGGGTATGTGTGAGGAGATTATGTGAAGACTGGCTTTCCTGATGACTAACTCTGGCTTATGGCAAGCTACATTTCTGTCTCAACAAAGAATAAGAGTACAGCTTCTAAGCAAAAATGATCCTCAAATTTGTATAGCCCTCCAACTCTTCCTATTCAAGGTTCCCCTCTTTGACTTTCTCTAACTTGAAATTAGTTCCATTTGCTCCGACTTGTTTAGGGGTGATTAGATTCAGAGATGGTTGCAGTCTATTTGAAGAGCAAATACATAGAACCCTGGCCAGGCAGCATGAATTAGGGGGATCCTGATGTTTCCAAGGTCATCTCTCCCAATGGCCAGTGCCTAACTGCTACATTTAATGCTAGTGAAGAGCCAACACCTCTGGATGAAGGAAAACTATAGAAAACTATTTTAACTTTCTTCTACAGCTTGTCATAGTCTACCTTCTGTTTAATCTAGGTTGGCCTTGAACTTGCAATCTTCCTACCTCAGCCTTCTGAGTAGCTGGGGTTACAGGTACACTCAGCCTCTGCCTTCTTTTTTACAGCTTTTGTTTGTTTGGAGTTCTTCCAGGAAAAGAAAAGTCTAACCTCACGTTACCCCGTGACATTGAAAATGTTACATAAGTATTTGTTTAACTTATTAACCCAATTTCTTTCCTAAGAAGTACATAGATGTGCTCACACTGAAATATCAAAGTTACATGAAGGGTAAGATGGCCAAATGAATAGCCCACAGTTGACTCAATAATAAAATCTGGGAGTTAGGAAGAATGGATCCTTTTTCGACATCTCTCAGAAACCCCAGGTCACAGCATTCTGGCACCCTCATGGTACTGCTGATACCATGGAATTGTGTTTATGCCCATCAAGTCTGATAAGTGCATACTGATAAGGCAATAGGTCACTCTCATTAGTGTAGGGGCCAATTTCAGAACATGCAGTGTCAGGGAGGGCTGGTGAGAACAGGCACAAAGGCACATCGGAAGTATCTGACACCTATGGGAGGTGGAGTTGACTTCCAAGAGGATTGTGGCCCTGGCTGGAAGGAGAGCTGGGTCTCAGGAGTCAGAGGAAAGACTTCTGGCATGAGACCAGGTGATCAAACCCCCTCAGTCAAAGGAAGGCATATAAAGTAATTGTCAGGCATTGTATGAGCTGTTATTTTGCGTCCCTTACAAAGCTCAAAACTCTACTCATTTCTTTTCAAGATCTTTGTGGGCAACCAAGTGCATGTTTTCCCAATATGCTTGGAGTAGTGACAAGAGATCACATACCTGTTGACAACCAGGACTGTGAGATAATAAGCTCCCTAAAAGTCAGGTAATGGAAAAAAGGACGATCTTCTGCAGGAAGAATGCTACCAAAAAAGTTTGTCTGGTTTTGTTCAGTATGATGTCATTCAAGGATTATCTGAAGGTCAAATCTGGGTTTATGACATATAAACCAGTCAGTCTAAGATTCCAAACCTCCCTTCCCACTTTAAACTCCATCATTCATATTTTTTTCCTAGCAGCAGATAGAAGGGGAACATTTATATGAGTTCTTTTGGTGGGCACTCAGCCTTCTTTTGAGACATCTGAGACTATTATACTTATATTTGTTCACATGGGCATTCAATCTTCCTCCCTCCTGACCCTAGCACCATGAGATTGGATATTCACTGTTGGTACAGGTCATCATACTATTTCTAAAGTGTTTTTAGAAAGCTCATTCAGCCTGTTTATAGAGGAAAAACAGKCAATATTAATAAAAAAACAGATTCTCAAGTCAAAATGTGGATTAAAATTTTAAAATATTGTTCCCAGCATAGCCTTGTATTTCTTATAGTTCTAAATACTAAATTTAAAAAAATACTGCTTCAGTCTTGAAAGAGACATTGGTCACTGCTGGACTCATTGCTAGACACACTTGAACACTAAGTAAATATTTGAATTGAATAAAGAACCCCTGAGAGGTAATTTATACAAATTGCCTTTAAACCTCCAGCCACTGCAGAAATATGGAGCTTCTCTAATCCACTTTGGTGGCCCCTTTTGCTAGCTATGGCAAAAGCATGACCTGCTTCTCTCTCCAAGAATTTATATTTTACCCGTCCCCAATTTCATTTTCTTCATCAAGTCTATGGTTGCTTCCTAACTCACTATCAAAAATAGATTGGGTTTGGAACTGTAGCCTGATACCACTTTTGAAAACACCATTCTCAAAATATTCTTGATAGGACCAT